ATAAATCTGGTCCGGCAATAAATATTGCTACTAATCATCGATCTCTTGATCCTACGCCTGAAAGAATGGTCGCAAGTCACCTAGGGCTGTTCCTCCAGGAACCCGTAGAGAACCTGGCCTTGGATACGCCAACCAGACGTAGCCTTTGTTTGCGTGGGCAGACTTGAACTCAGTCGGTTAAAGCCCATTCCGCCAGATCTCCCGCTTGCAACGTTGATTGAATCTCATTAACTGATGAATCAAGCCATTAACTCGGCTTAGAGCTGACGTCCCAATGAAAACAACGGATATTCTTTATCTTTGGTCCCGTGTGGAAAACTATTTACGGTGTTTAACCAGTGGATGATCGCTTAGTCGCGATAAGCCGGCTGCGGACACAATTCACAATACTTCAGACGGGTTTCAAAGAGCTCCCCAAGGACTCACTCGACTGCAACACATCGCCCGGGAATCTGGCCAAGTGCCAAGGGTGATTGGAGCGTTAATGACGACATCAGGGAACTTCTCACGATTGCTGTTGCTTATTCATCCCACGTTTTCCACACATTACTAAGCGCACATAAATTGGATTTCACGTACGAATGGGTCCTAGCACGAAATGACGTGATATGGAAAATATCTTATTGTTCCGCCCGCGCTTGGTCTGTGTTCACTTATCGAGTCTCCACCAACATAACAACACCCCACAAACGTCATCTCATGTCAAAATTGGCATTTTTTTTCGTGAAAATGGATGATTTTTTTCTATTTTAGGCCTAGCCGGTCAACTTAAGCCTGATTTGGAAATGATGGCTATCTGCAAGGTGTCAATACCAGGGCTAAAATCGGGCAAGGAACAAACGTCAGAGGTGAAACGTGGGCGAGATCCTATTTTCAATCAGGTACGATAATTTTTCCACGTAATTTCTCCGGTTCAATTATAATATTATATTAACACAAGGTGTTTCGTAACGTTTCATGGAATCTTTTGCAATGTACGTAATTGCACAAAAACTCAGAATGCGCCAAAATTATCCGTGAATAATTGCTGTGTTAGTTTGTGGTTAGAGGTTTGAGCACAGTAAACATCGCCAGTTCAATGGGTGGCAATTAGATCTACGTCAGAAAGTGCGCTACGTGCCGCTGCCTCTTTAGATACTTGTTTTTTCGGAAAATGGTAATTACCGGCGCATAATAGATTCGAAAAGCGTAGTAGTGACGTCCCTTATAGCTCAAGAAGCAGGAAAAGTAGTCCTGAATGGAAAAACTGACTGTAGACCAGTATGAGGGGGCATTCTGGTGCAGAGTAATCGGGTCATTTAAAACCTCGTCGAGGAAATGGGGGGAGGGAGGGGGGTATTTGGCTGAGGAAGGACATAGCTTTGCAAATGTTTACAGGTCTCGACAGGAGCCAGTGATCGATGGAAACCAACCAGCAAAATGCACCTACCAAAGCGAACTGCACCGAAGCGGTTCAATCACCTGGGAACTCCTGCACCCGAGGCTTATGGGAAAATCCTCACCCCAATGGCTCCCAATAGCTTCTTTTTCGGGGCTT